ATTAGCATGTATAATGTGGTGGGGGGAAGGGGAGGGCTGGGCAACACAGAGAAGACAAGTAGTGATTTTATAGCATCTTACTATGCTGATGGACAGTGACTCTGAAGGGGTATATGGGGGGGACTTGGTGAAGGGGGGAGCCTAGAAAACAATGTTCTTCATGTAATTGTAGATTAATGATACCAAAATATAAAAATAAAAAAATAAGCTGGGCCTTTTAGCAGGCTAAGGTAAATTTCACAATGTCATGAACTAATTGATACAATGAAGTCATGGGTTATGCTGAGGTACTTTTCTTTATCTGGGGAACATTTAAATATTCCAGGCCAAGTTGCTCCTGGCCTTTTAAGTTTTAACTGAATTCACTGAAGAATGTTTATATTCCTAGTCTTTACCTGGTATCATCTTTACCCTGGAGAATTAGTGTGATTCTGACTTTGTGTAATACTTAACACAGAGTTTCCATAGGGACTTCTTTGCACATTGTTACATTGTTCTGACTGTAATTATGTTGCTTTGCTTTTTTCTGGAGGCTCTCACCCTACTCTGCCTAAACCCACGGTCCCTGTCTCAAAAGGGTGCATGCCCAACTTTATTCCCACCGTGGCAGGTCAATCCTGTCCACTCAGAGTGAGTCTGCAGGCAGCAAGCTGGTCTCTGCCTCTGGGCCTCTCTGCCCCTGCAGCCGTCTCAGTCTCTGTCCTGGGCGCTGATACCACTCCAGCCTCTGCTCTCCTGCAGCTGTGCAGCTGTATAGCCATGCAGCCCAGAGCACGAGCCAGTAACAATGTATTGCCCACACGTGTGTAGTGAGTAAGCTGACCAAGGCCAGGTGAGAATTCTGGCTGTAGGTAACTTCACTTTTTCCACACCTGGATACAATGTTACTTAATTGACAAATGTAACTGGAAGTAGGAAGACCATGTTAAAGAATAAACTAGGCCTGTGCTGGTAGACAGAAAAAATATTTTACAATGGTGTGGATAAAATGAGAGAGTTCCTGTGGCCAGGATTCTCACCTGGCCCTGGTTGACTGGCCCGCTGCACACCTGTGGGCAGTGCATGGCTGTTGACTCTATATAAAGAGCTTGGCCCAGTGCTCTGGGAGCCATACGGTGGCACGGCTGCAAGGCTG